TCATCATCATGAATCAAATATAAACATCCATAAATGCAAGTGCCTACCAATCACATACATACATAATTAATTTTTGATTATCAAATAATCAGAGCATAAATTAATATCGTCTATAGACCGCTCTGATACCAATTGTTGGTCTCCGAATCGAATTCAGACGCGGAAGCATGGTGGTAGGAGGAAGAGGTGGATCGTGTATAACAAAAATTTTCATAAAACTTTTGAGATACTCTATAGATAGTGATAAACCGCCGCCCATCCAGGGAATAGCGGGATGGAAGGAGATCTACGCCCAGTCGGAAATGAAGTTCCACCTCCAAATGCGCCACGGCCGGATCCGATGCAGATGCAGGCCCAACTGACCACTCTAACCGAGCTGGTACGTGGGCTAATGACCGTGGTGGAGCGCTTAGATGGAAGGAACTCCATGCCGCCATTAGAAGATGCCCCGATGCCGCAGGGAAACGCCATGGCCGGAGATCCGAACCGCGGCGACTACCCACTTATCCAAGAGGGAACCGGAGATAGTGAGAATCGCCGGGGCCCTCCTAGGCCTCGGCCTTCCCAATCTCCCGGCAGCCGTTTGGGGGCCGCCGGACTCCGAGCTCCCGAGGACCGGGTACCGAGAGGTCCAGGAAATCCTGAGATACTATCTCAAAATCCAGGTGGAACCCGCCAGGAGACTCAGGATCAGTGCAGGCAGGCAGCCAGGCCCGAGGCAGACCCAACATTCAGAGGGCGGAAGCGTCAAGAGTAGCCGGCTCGGCCATTTCGACAGAGGAAGCACGCGCCATCATGGAATTTATGGCCAGCCTGGAGCAAAAATTGACAGGGGACGTAGCGGGCCAAAAAAGAATATAGGTCGTGTGGCTGAGGTGGTAAACGTCAATATCACGCCCAGTTGCACACATGACCATCCATTTACCGAAGAAATAATGGCGCCCCCTCTCCCCGATAATACAGGTCACCGTCAATCTCACCATATGATGGGCGAAGAGATCCCGACGACCATCTGGAGATGTACACTGGGCACATGCTCTTACACGGTTACGCCGAGGAGATCATGTGCCGAGCCTTTCGAAACCATTTGACGGATTCGGCCCGGAGGTGGTTCCGAACGCTGAGGCCAAACTCTATCTCAAGCTGGGACGAGTTGAAGGAAGCATTTTCCCTCCAATTCATAGGGGTCAAAAAGTACGTCCCCCCAAAGCAGAATCTGACCACGATATACCAAAAGGCAAACGAGTCATTGAAGGAATGGCTCGCAAGGTATGAGGAAGCTGTTGCCACCACGATGGACATAACAGATAGAGAGGTCTTGATGGGGGCCTTATCTAGCATGAAGAAAATTACCCCGTTCAAAAGAGAACTAAATTGAAAACCTCCGTCCAGCTACAGGGAATTTTTGGCGCGAGCGCAGGGGTACATCAACGCTGAAGAGGCAGACGCGAACGACCCCGAGCACCGAACCAACAAGAATAAAGGAACCGAACAAGGGTCGGCGCCAAGCAGGATGGGAAGAAGCATCAAGGTGGAGGAAACGGAGACAAGCAGTCCGCCGCGATGACGAACGCTCCGAAAGCCAAAAAGCCGAGACAAGAGGATACCCGTAAGCCTCGACTGTTCCAAAAGTACGATTCCTACCATGAGTTAACGGTAGGAGTCGAGGAGGTCTTCAACCAGGTCAGCCGCGGGAACTTACTGCGCCAACCGAAAGCAATGAAGTCAGATCCCAGTCGAAGGAACCAGAAGAAATTTTGTAGGTTCCACGGCGATGTTGGCCACCACACCAACGATTGTGCCGACCTCAAGGATGAAATCGAAAGAGTGATCCGCGAGGGAAGGTTACAAGAATTCAAGGCCGAGCGAAGGCCCCGAAATGACGGCCATGGTGGGCAGAATGACGGTCGACGCCGAGAGGAGAACCAGCGCCTGGAGGATCACGAACTCGTCGGCGTCATAAGGACTGTCCTCGGCGGTCCTTATATAGGAGGAGACTCAAGGAGGTCTCAGAAGGACTACGCCCACGAGGCCAGGGGGTTTATCAGGAGTGATTTTGGAGTGTCTCCGCTACAAAAACCTCAAGGTACAGCCACACTGATATGGCTTTTAACGAGGATGACGCTAGTGGGGTTCATTTCCCCCACAACGATGCCTTGGTGGTGGAAGCTATGATAGGAAACCACACCGTGTGCAGAATCCTGGTGGACAATGGGAGCTCGATGGACCTCCTATACTCCGATTGCTTGGAGAAAATGGGGATCCAAAAGGAACAATTGGAGAAAACCTCCAGGCCGCTATATGGTTTCACAGGTGACTCCGTCATCCCTCAAGGGACAATCCGGCTACCCATAACTGCCGGAGAGAAACCTCGATAGGCAACCCCAATGGCCAATTTCGTGGTCATAAAAGGAAGCTCCCAGTACAACGCGGTAATCGGGAGGCCAACCCTTCAAGCGTTAAGAGCAATAACCTCCGTCTACCACCAAAAGGTCAAGTTTCTCACCCCAAATGGCGTAGGGGAAATAAAGAGCAACCAGTATGAAGCTAGGGTTGCGTACTCTGACGCCCTGCGCGGATATGACCAACCAGGAAGACAGGAGACAATGGTGGTTCACCAAGGCCTTGTCGAGGATATAGATCCTCGGATCCAAGAGGAAGTCACATGGTCTCAACCTGTTGAGCAGTTGGTGGAAATCCAAGTTGGTGAAGGCTAGTCCACCAAAGTGTTAAAAGTGGGCTCAAGCTTAGCCCCATCACTTAAAGATGAGATCGAAAACTTCCTCAGGAAGAACCTAGATGTCTTCGCCTAGAATCATTCAGAAATGGAAAGGATCGATGCTGAGGTAATATGTCACTCCCTAAACGTCGACCCCTCATATCCGCCCAAACGATAAAAACGTCGACCGATGAACCCCGAGAGGTATGAGGCGCTGAAAGAAGAAGTCAACAAGCTGATCAATAATGGGTTCATCAGGGAGTCCCATTATCCTCATTGGGTATCAAACCCCGTTCTAGTGATCAAGCCCAACGGGAATTGGAGGACATGCGTCGACTTCAGCATCTCAATAAAGCCTGCCCAAAGGATGGCTTTCCACTCCCTCGCATAGACTAGATGGTCGACGCCACGGCAGGACATAAGATGCTGAGCTTTATGGATGCTTACTCCGGATACAACCAGATCCCCATGCATCCAGCCGACGAGGAGCAGACATCCTTCATAACCGACAGGGGCCTCTACTGCTACAAAGTGATGCCTTTCGGCCTAAAAAATGCAGGGGCTACCTACCAAAGGCTTGTGAATACAATGTTTGCTCAACAGCTCGGCAAAATAATGGAGGTCTATGTTGACGATATGCTAGTAAAAAGTATCAGGGCCAGCCATCACGTCAATCATCTGGGGGAAATGTTTGGTGTGTTAAGAAAATACCACATGAAACTCAATCCCCAAAAATGCGCCTTTGGAGTTGGGTCGGGAAAATTCCTCGGCTTTATGGTTAGCAACCGGGGGATTGAAGCTAACCCCGAGAAAATCAAGGGCCTACAGGATATGTTGTCCCCAATAAAGCCAAAGGAAGTGCAAAGATTAACAGGATGTGTCGCTGCCTTAAATAGGTTCATATCAAAAGCGACCGACAAATGCATCCCCTTCTTCGACGCTTTAAAGGGAAGCAAGCGCTTTGAATGGACACCCCAATGTGAAGAGGCCTTCCAGAAATTGAAGGAGCATTTGGGCAAGCCCCCAATTCTGTCAAAACTAAACATCGATGAGGAGCTTAGCCTATACCTCTCTGTATCCCAACACGCCATAAGTTCCGTGTTAGTAAGAGAAGAAAAGAGGGTGCAGCTGCCAATCTACTACGTGAGCAAAAGGCTCCTTAACACCGAGTCAAGATACAATGAGATGGAGCGCCTAGCCCTCGCCCTGATGGTAGCTTCAAGAAAGTTTCGGCACTATTTCCAGTCTCACACAATACGGGTTCTCACAAACCACCCGCTGAGGCAGGCTCTACAAAAGCCCGAAACTTCCGGTCGACTCCTCAAATGGTCGGTAGAATTAAGCCAGTTCGACATAAAGTATGTGCCAAGAACTACGATCAAGGGCCAAGCGCTCGCTGATTTCCTGGCCGAGTTCTCTCATAGGCCAGCTCCCGCCGCATCTGGAGAAGTCGAGGTTATAGAATGGAAGCTCTACATGGATGGGGCATCGAGTGAAAATGGGTCGGGAGCTGGCGTCCTGTTAATCAGCCCCGAAGGCCACAAAATTACCTCGGCGGTCTGATTTAAATTCAAGGCATCAAACAACGAGGCGGAATATGAAGCACTAATTGCCGGACTGCGGTTAGCCAGCCACCTAAATATCAAAAGACTCAGCGTCCTCAATGATTCTCAATTGGTTGTCATGCAAGTAAAGGAAGAATACCAAGCACGTGGCGAGAAGATGGGAGCGTACTTAAGAAAGGTAAAAGAAGAACTCGTTAAGTTTAAAAATTACGAGATACTCCAAATACCACGAACTGAAAATGCAAACGTCGACGCTCTGGCAAAGCTAGCATCTTCTAGAGAATCTGACACACTAGGGGTCGTTCCCATCGAGGAATTGGAGCGACCAACTATAGAAGAAAAGGTTAAAGCATTAATTGTCCGAGTAGGTGAAAGTTGGATGACCCCCCTCATCCAATACCTAATGGATGCACAATTGCCAAACGATAAGGACGAAGCCAGATGGATCAGGTATAGAGCTGCTAGGTACTTATTGTATGATGGCTTGCTCTACCGACGAGGCTACTCAACCCCTCTACAGCGGTGTTTGGATGAGACCGAGGCACAAAAAGTTCTCCACGAAATCCATGAAAGGATCTGCGGTAACCACACTGAGGGCCAGTCTTTGGCCCTAAAGGTTTTGCGGCAAGGATACTACTGGCCCACGCTCAAAAAGGATGCTTTTCAGTACACCCAACGTTGCGATAAATGCCAAAGGTATGCCACAATTCTTAGAGCGCCCCCAGAACATTTGACGTCCATTCTCAGTCCTTGGCCCTTCGCCAAATGGGGGGTTGACCTGATCAGGCCATTACATCTTACACCCGGAGGATTTAAGTTTGCAATCGTTGCGGTAGACTACTACACAAAATGGGCAGAGGCAAAGGCCCTAACTACAACCACGGAAGCAGCCTGCACCAAATTCATGTGGGATCACATCGTATGCAGGTTCGGGGTTCCCCACTTAATAGTATTCGACAATGGAAAGCAGTTCGACAACGTCTTAACGCGCAGATTCTACGATGGCTTGGGCATCCAGAAAGATTTTTCAGCACCGATCCATCCACAATCCAATGGACAAGTCGAGGCGGTCAATAAGATATTAAAGTATACCCTCAAGAAAAAACTCGACGATCTGAAAGGGAAATGGGGTGAGGAACTTCCCAAGGTCTTGTGGGCATACAGAATGATGAGCCGAACTACTACGGGTGAGACACCCTTCTCCATGGCAGATGGCGTCAAAGCAGTGCTCCCCATAGAAATTGAAATGCCGACTCTAAGAACCGTCGTCCATAACGACGACGACAACGCGGAAGGCATGAACGGAGAACTCGACTTGTTGGAAGAAAAAAGGCTCGACTCCCAACTACGTCTCGCCGCCTATCAGCAAAGAATGGCGCGATACTACAACAAGAAAGTTTGACAGAGGAGGTTCGTCCCGGGGGACCTAGTACTAAAAAGGGTAACGCAAAGCACGAAACCCAAAAATACTAGTCCCCTGGGCCTAACTTGGGAAGGGCCCTACCGCATAAGGGAAATGCTATGTCCCGGCACCTATGTTTTGGAGGGCCTCGACGGCAAAAAGATCCAACACTCGTGGAATGCAGAACAACTAAGGCTGTACTACCAATAATATATGAAATTCTCGCATATCTCAATTGTACACTCTTTACAAATTGAATAAATTGACATGTTTACAGAAGGAAAAGAATTCACCCCTTAATAACATGTATGCCTAAAAACCAAGGTTATTTAGACAGACATGGGGGACAGGGGTCCATGGGTTAATAAAAAAAAAAAACTTAGTGAAATTCCCAGGAATTTCCTAAGACAACGACCCCAAGGGGCACAATCGACGTCAAATCTTCCAAGGAGGAAAGACAAAGACTTAGTAAAATTCCCAGGAATTTCCTAAGACGACGACCCTAAGGGGCACAATCGACGTCAGATCCTCCAAGGAGGAAAGATAAAGACTTAGTGAAATTCCCAGGAATTTCCTAAGACGACGACCCCAAGGGGCACAGTCGACGTCAAAACCTCCAAGGAGGAAAGACAAAGACTTAGCGAAATTCCAAGGAATTTTCTATAATAAAAAAAAATGACGACCCCAAAGGGTGTAGTCGACGTTAGATCCTCCAAGGAGGAAAGACAAAGACTTAGTGAAATTCCCAGGAATTTCCTAAGACGACGACCCCAAGGGGCACAGTCGACGTCAAAACCTCCAAGGAGGAAAGACAAAGACTTAGCGAAATTCTAAGGAATTTTCTATAATAATAAAAAATGACGACCCCAAGGGGTGTAGTCGACGTCAAATCCTCCAAGGAGGAAAGACAAAGACTTAGCGAAATTCCAAGGAATTTCCTAAGACGACGACCCCAAGGGGTACACTCGACGACAGATCTTCCAAAAAGGAAAGGCGAAGACTTAGTAAGAAAGCAGCAATTGCAAATCAAGGTATAAATTAAAACTGTTGTCTTTTATATATATATATATATATAAGGAGTAGATAAAGTAAAAGATGTCCGGATCAACAATAAAATTACAAAACAAAAGGGAGGCAGGTAAAAATCCTTCAGCCCTCACCGGCAGTCGCCAAGTCTTCGCCGTCACCAGGCGGAGAAACATTGTCGTCACCCGTAGGGGGGAGAGTTATAAAGAAAGCTCAAATCCCACTCAGGACACTCCTTCTTGATCAGGTCGACAATTTGTTGACCCGCAGATTGAAAGTCCCTGGTGCGGATGTCAGTGAGCTCCTGAAAGGCCTTGAACTCCTCAATAACCTCAGCGCGCCTGGCGTCGAAAGCAAATGCAGCTTCTGCCTCAGCTTCCCTCTTCCCTTCAGTTTTCCCTTCAGCAAAACGCTTTCCCCTCAATAAAACGCCTCTCTGCTTCCCTAGCCGCCTCGGACAATTTTCTATCAGATAGGTCCGCCCGCTCCTTGAGACTCGCGATCTCATTTTTCAACTTTTGAAGTTCTTCTTCCAAACTCTCCAGCTTGGCCAAGGCCACGTCCCTCTTCTCGACGGCATCATCTAGCTTCTGTTTGGCGTCGGTGACAAGGGACTGAAGCCTGGCCTCCAGTTCATCCATCTCATTTTTTTGCTCCTCGACCTTG